TTCGTCTTCTGGCGGAACCGACCTTCGAATCTCTTCACCAAACACTTCTAATCGAAATGGAAGTAAGCCCAACAATTATGAAACAAGAGATTCCTCGAAACCCAACTTTTCTTCGTAGAGGGTAAGAGTGTCAGAAAGTCTGATGTCAAGTCAAAATGTTGGCCGATGGTAAGCTTCGAAGAAGGTTAATGGGTCGACGGAGGAACCACCTACTCCCAGCCGACATGTACCGTGATTATGAGCAAAAAAGGACAACTTTTCATAAAAATCAACTCTATTCTTGATACAACATGCTTTTTTTCAGTAGAATTTGGCTTCTCCACTCAACATCAGGGCGCTCAGAGTCGGCCTCCAGTCGGGACGTGATTTGGCTGAATCGCCGAGCCGTCTTGGTCAATTCACTGTTGTTGTGAGTTGCCGAGGGTGATGCCTACCGGCTGAGTGGAAGACTTGATTGTATAAAATTTTAACAGAATTGAATCGGAGGTGAACTAGGCTCTGACGAAGTGGTACCACTTCAGTGTGGTCTGAGCAAAGGGTTGGGATGAATCGTGTGTAACGGTGAAAGTGGAGAAATGCATACTTATGGTGTGAAACACACAAATTGGCACATCACCAGCAACAGTTACTGCTGACCTGTCGGAGGATTTTGGGCGCAGGGTGCAGAGGCGTTGTCACTATGGCAGGTCGAATAGCCGATCTCCAGTCGCGTGACCGACCACGAACGGTCCGAGTTCGAGTCCTTGCACCACTTCTCAGAGTCACCAATGGCAGGGGCAACGGCATGTGCGGCTTGAGGCGGTCGCGAAGGCGGTTGGCAAGTTGTTGCTCCGCGGCCAGTAGCAAGCGGGGTAGGTTGGATAATGCGACGGATCGTAGCAGACCCTCTCGCGTTTCATCTTCTCCAACAGGAAGTGATGGTAGGCCAGCAACTGGAGGTTGATCTCTCTGTCCAGACTGTCTGATCGAGAGCGTTTGGACGAGTTCTTTCTGAAAGACCTGCAGCTTCGCCTGCTCCTTCGGGACGAGGATGCGTGGGCGCCTGGCAACAAATGCTTCAGCCACATGGCGACACTTGACTCACAGTCTGGCGAGTCTCCTACTTTCAATGGGACCGAATGGTCGCCTGGCAACTGGGCAAGTCTGTGACAGATCCAGGCCAGGCAACCAGATATACTCGCTTAGAAACACGAGGGTAATCTTATATAGTGCTGGCAGCAGAGTGACTCAATTGCCAAATGTACGCAATTGCAGGCTTGTCTACAGCTTCTGGACGGTGGCAGTCGAGCCTGGAGGCGAATTGTGCGAGAAGGTGGCTGCAAGCACTGATTGGTCCTGGCCCATGACAACCAGCCTACTTACTTCAACTGCTTATTTGGGGTCGAAAAAAGCCAAAGACAGCAGAATTAGCGCATCATACAAAAAAGCTGGAAGAAGCAGTTAGCAATGCTGTATCTTTGCCCTCTGCCGCACATCTTCTAAATTTCCAAATGAGCAACTCATTATCTCAACATGTCAACAGTTCCTGGATGAGGAATAGGTCAGCTCAAGCGGCTAGAGGTAATAAAAGTACAGATAGAGGTTGTTTGACCTTGTTTTCGCAACTTGGTCATGTTGGTAGGAGGACATAGAGGAACGCAACTAGTCCGGAGTCCATTGTATGCAGCATCATTTCCAAAATTGAACAGTCGACGTGGTACATTCCCAAACTATTGGCCGGCATCGTCAGTGAGTAAGGCCATTCTTAGCACCATACAACAACTCGTCAAATAGACTCACTGACAATGCCGGCGAAACGCTTGGGAATGTACCACGTCCATGGTTCAACTTTGCAAACGATCATGCAGACAATGGACTCAAGACTAGGTGTGTTTCTTTAAGGTCTTCCTACCAATATGACCAAGTTGCGAAAACAAGGTGAAACAGCTTCCGCACAAAGAAAGGAGACTGCGACCACACAAAATGCCACACCATCTTGGTCTTCATACTTTCGATAAAACACATAGTT